GGATAAGATAATTCGAATTTTTGGAGGAAAGAGAAGATTTAAATCAAAGAGAATGGGAAAAGAAGAAAACCAGAAAAATTCGAAGTAGGGGGGGGCGCAAGGGGATGGAAGAGTGATGAAGAAGGGAGAAATAGGTGAGAGAGAGAGCAGTGAAGTGGGAGATGGGGGAAATGAGATTAGTAGAAGATGGTGAGTGGGGAGGAGAGGAGAGAAAAAGGTGTTGGGAGATGAGTGAAGAGGGAGGTGGGAGGAGGGGGGTAGTGGTAGAGTTAGAAAGGATGAGTAGATGATGGGGGGGAAGAGAAAAGGGGTTGGGGGAAAGTAAGTTAATGGAGAGAGATAATACCAGGCTCTTGGTTGGCCAAGAGCAAAGCACTACCAAGATACATAGGATCTTGGCCTTCAAGGTGCTGCTGGCCTGATGCCACAGCAGTAAAAAGATGATGATGATGATCTAGGGTTGTGTTATAAGGGCAGTTGGCACGCACCTGTTCAACAGCAGCGTGCCACGCTACACAACCATACAGACAATATGGCAAGTGTGTAACAAGGGCAGCTACGCACGCGTAAGCCCAGCAGCTGCCCGGGTTCAAACCCCGGCAGAAACAAAATCTTGAATTTTGATAATATAATCTAGGAGCGGGGTGGGGCGGGGCAGCGTGGGCGTGTGGCGCGCGCGCGCACACGGCGTGATGACACTTGCTTTTTTGCCAAGTGTCGCTCACCAGCTGAACCTTTTCTTCCCTCGTTTTCGTCGGAGAACGCCCTAAAAACAGCCAAAAACCCTGCTGTCGGGTTTTGCTGTTTTCCCTACTGTGTGGGGTGGTGCGTGGGAGCGGGGAACGTTCCCACTCCAATACCAGTGTGGCCGACCCACCAGGTGTGGTGCTCCGCCAGGGATAGAGATGGAGATGGACGAAGAAGGGGGAGCGAGATGGCACAGCGCAGCTCCCGCGCTAGACTCCAACGCACGTACTCCAAAGTGTGCGGATGTAGAATGAATCAGAAAACAGACAACAGCTGGGGTATACCCCATCGGGCTGATGGGACTGGACTGGACTGGCTGGTACTGACAGAGGTACCGGCCTGGACTGGACTACCCTGAATACAACACAAGCCAAAGGGCTGGTCTCACAGGCCAAAGGCCAACCAAAGGTCCGATACAACCACAACTCACCACTGTCCACGGACCACGGACCACCACAGCTCACCACCACCCACGGGCCACGGCCCGGGGGTGCAGGCGGGAGCGCGGGGGGGAGAGGGGGAGGGAGAGAGAGAGAGAGAGAGAGAGAGAGAGAGAGAGAGAGAGAGAGAGAGAGAGAGCAATCACCGTCTTCCCCAAAACACAAGGCAGGTGAACGCACCGTCATGGCGATTGTATATGAGCGGTCTTTCCTGTCAGGTACAACCGTTATGAAGGTGCCTTGTGTTTCACGGGAGGACAAAGAAGAAGAACGTGAAGAATGGAGGGCGTGAGAGGAGGAAGAAAGAAGCTGAAGAAGAAGGAGAAGAGGACGAAAGAAACAACAAGGAAAAAAGAAAAAGACGATGTGAGAGGAGCACAGGTCGACAACAGACGTGAGGGAAGTTCTACACGTGCTTACCTTACGTCTGTTGTCGACCTGTGCTTCTCCCACATCGTCTTTTTCTTTCCTCTTCTTCTTCTTCTTCGTCTTCTTCTTCTTCTTCTTCTTTCTTCCTCCTCTCACGCCATCCCTTCTTCACGACTATCTTCTTTTCCTTCACGTTAACACAAGGAACCTTCATAACGGCTGTCTATCTTCTTTTCCTTCACGTGAACACAAGGAACCTTCATAACGGCTGTACATGACAGGAAAGACCGCTCATATACATGCGTTATGATGAAGGTGCGTTCCGTTCAGGGGAAGATGTGCGCCGAGAGAGAGAGAGAGAGAGAGAGAGAGAGAGAGAGAGAGAGAGAGAGAGAGAGAGAGAGAGAGAGAGAGAGAGAGAGAGAGAGAGAGAGA